TAGGTGTTTTAATTAATTTTTATCGCCGCTTCATGTGCTGGAGACCGCCATGACGCTGTTCGTTTCCAGGTTACCACTTCAGTTTCCTGCTGAGGCAGTGTAAAAATATTTTAATTTTTCATAAATATTGGCTCCTTCGAAGTTTCCTGCCTCTAATATGTCCATGAGATCGGTTGGCGCCAAAATCATATTATTTACGATAATTCTTATTATTTAATCGCCATCTGATTGCTTGATTGAAAGTTTCAGCATAAACAAATTTCTGGCTTGCATTATGAACCTGAGAGCTAAACAATGAATGACCTATTAGCTACTTAGAGCTAGAAGAAAAACCACTATGATTTCCAACAGAAATTGCGGTTGCAGTCACAATTCGATTATTCAGTTGCAACGGTGACAAATTGAGGCGAGCAGAGGATGGATTGTAAGAGAGTTTTTTCAAACGAGAAATTGCATATTGAAGCAAAAGTTAAGCTCAAATTTTTCACGCAAATCTTCAGATTAAAAATGGTTATAAGCAATTTTCATTCCTCTAGTTATTCATTAATACAATCGTTTGCTGATTCAATCACTCGCTTGTTGATTCACTCACTCGTTCACTCATTCATTCATTTACTCACGCGTTCATTCATTCAGATTCATTCATCTGTTTACCTACTTTCTCTTTTATTCATTCATCATCAAAGTTTTCCATTCCTATCTGAAAAATGGACAGTTGGTTTAGGAGACCTTTTGCTGGTGCCAATTAAACGGGCACAATTAAACGAGTTAATTCAGCTATTTGGTTACTGAGATATTAATTTTCGCTTGTTCTATGAATAGCACTAGAACGACTAGGTTTTATACACAGGCCGACGTTTCGGACGACGGCCACTCATTGCATATCATCAGAGGTTACATAACGAACGTGTCTCCTGACTTTCAAATATCTTTGCTTCTATGTTCATTGAATTGGAAGATGTTCCTGAATACCCCGGCAGTTTTTGTTAATCTGTCAGGATAACTCGACAGGTAAATTGATTGATTTCTTTTCTTCTCCAAACACTGCTTGAAAAGTAAAACGTCGTATAGTTCCGTGAACCTGGCTGATTACGCCTGTTTTGCGTTATCCACAAGAGAAACATTTTTGTGATTCAGATAGTTATATGTTCTCCCTTGAGTTACTGGCCACAAAAGCAGAACGTTGGTGCTGTTTTGTGCTCTCTCATTCCATTTCATGGTTCAAGTTAAAAACTATTAAAATAATCGTAATTCACTCACACTGGTTTTAGGAACAAAGAAGCAACCGCATGGTAGTCCTTACTGTAATAACTGACTATATTTCAACCAAACTATATTGACCATCCTCGAATCAAACATTGTTTCTTTGTGTTTAAAGTTATTGAAGTGCCAATTTGTTGAAGAATCAGATACAGAATCAAAATGAGTTTCTGAGATCGCTTTAATTCTTCCAACGGTTGAAACTAAAATGGCCATAGAATAAGCTGAACGCAATGCGAAATTGTTTGTCTTCAAGCCTATGCTGATTAAGCCGGTTTCATTCCTCTCAACACTACGCGGATATCAGATACTCGAGAGAACCTAAATGTACAGCCGCTGCTTTGCCAGATTCAGAAATCAAAGAGTTACAGTGGTTTTGATGCACCTCGCGAACCGTTCCGTACAGGAAGGCGAAATGGTTACTACTTGCTAAGCTGACAGGCCAAAGACTCCGGAGAAGGCCAAGAAAGATTTGGGGCAAGTGTTTGGACCCTTCACTAGATTCCGGTTATCTTCTGCCGAAGTTCAAATACCGGCACAGTACCGGGAACGCTAAAGACACTGACTGACGCGTCTCGTCTGCCTCCGCGACCTGAAAGGATAAGCGGTCATCGAAACTGACTGATTTATCACGTATGGTCACGGATGTTTGATATCGATCGAAAAATGCTACCCTTGATTCAAATTAGGTCACAAGGGCGCCGGTGAGGCCATGCGATGAGGATGCTACATGGGATAGAAATTCCAAGCGAATTTCTTTGGCAAAGCCAGATGGGAGATAACTCAGCGGCCAAACGAGGACAAAATGACTCGATAATAAGCAAATAGTTGGTATTCTGATGAGCAATAAAATCGTTTGCTCGTTTTGAAATCCACCCCACAGAGCATATCTGCTTTGCAGCGGATGAAGACTATCGCAAAGACCTCCTGCAGCAGCTGCACGAAAAGATTAGGCGGTTTTGAAGATAATCGAGTTGATCTCTCCAACACGATTCGAATTCACATTTCAGCATTATGGACAAGGTACAGTGAGGGAAATTACAAGAATTTTGCCATGTACAGTGGTAACGAAAAATGCTATGATGAGCTGTCAATATTTAGTTCGTCAAAGATGAGATGTCCAGACTCCAGTTGTCTTCTACCGAAGCTCAGACTCTGGTACAGGATCGGGAACGTTGGAAACTCTGTCTGATGCGTCTGCCTCCTCGACCCGAAAGGAGAAGCGGCAATAGAAGATAAAGATGAGATGTCGTGTGATGTCCATAATGAGCTAAGCGAACAATATTCAGCTTTTGGTGTCAACCATGCAGGATAATGTTTCTTTCTTCACTCAACAAGAGTATTCATTCAGCGTTGAAAAAATTATTACTACAGAATGTAAGGGACGATACCGTGGTGCAAGAGGATCCATTGTCTTTCTCCAAGCTTAGTTCAGAATGCATGCTGAACTGTACAAACCAGGAGAGTAACGAGCCGTCAAATCTGTGTCAACCGAGCGCGTAGCGAATAGTTAATACTCTAGCTATGCCAGTAACTCGATTTGACTTGAGGTAGTGCTTGGAGACGGCATTTGTCAAGACTCTGCAGCCTCTAGCTAGCAAAGCATCATTTGCGGAACGATCGGAAAGCATGAAACGTGTCAAAACTTTCGACCGCCTCCTCTCCTCTTCCTCGTCTTTACAAAGACAAAGAAAATGAATTCACACAGAAGAGTTAAATTACGTCACGACCGAGCTCATCTGTCAGTCTTTCCTTAAACAACGACGACGCATCAAACAGTCATCTCTGCTGCCTCAATTAAAGTCAGAGGAGAAGTGAGACGCTGCTCTGCTCGACGAGGAACGGCTGAAAGCTGAGAACGCGGAGCTGAGTTCAATTTCGGACAATCGATCGCATACGACTACAGCCGTCTTGACAGACAAGTGCTTGTCGTCGAGCCTTCCTGAATGGTCAGCGAAGAATGTCACGTGCGCGCGGCTGTCCGACCTCCCAGCTGCTCATGGAGGCAAGGGCAACAGACGGACGACCAGAAAACATGTCGCCGAGTGTCGTTTCAGTTCCGGGCACAAAAACGCGTATAATAAATAATCGCCGTCGTGTCGCGTGGTCCGTTCGACACTCTCTAACCGAGAGGCTGTGATGAGGTGAATTATTTGCCGCAGGCAACAGCTGCTATCGTCGTTCTTCGTTGACATTCATCGTCCGTCGGTCGGTTGGTCGGTCGGGCGGTCGATCGGTTGGTGCTCTCCTGAGGTAGCGAACGCTTCCGCTTCGTGGTTGTGGTGGGTTGTGCGATGGACCATGTCGTGAACTCCGTTGCCTATGCCACGACAGCTCCTGTCGTCGGGACCGTTGGTCGACGCAAGAGGATCGTTGTTGGTCAGGGTCTGCTTCCCGCCGTCCATCTTCGGCGTCGTTCCTCGTCATTTTGCCTTCGGTGCTCAGCGTCAGCCCCGACGCCCAAAGACACGTGTCGCACGCAGGGCTCATCTCCATACTGCGACCGCACTTTCCGCTGCCGTTGTCGCCGCGACGTGCCACGAGCCACGGCCACGACCAGCGGTTTCTTCACCATGCCTCTCGTCGTTCGCTTTCTGCTACCGCTGCTGGTCTGTTTTCCCAGAGGTACGACGCGTGATTTTTCGCAGCCATGGTGCTATCGCTCGCTTGATTTCCGCTCTTTCGTGCCACACTCTTGACGATGGCAAAAACTTAAACGACTATCGCTATTTAACCAATCAACAGCGCTAACGATCGTCGTCTTCAACCACGGCTTCCATCGGTTCAGGCCTAGAAGTTACTCGATCCTCTGAGCCGCGCAATCGGTTCGGTCGTGTACAGTTAGCAAAGAATTAACATCATTAGAAATCATTAGCAAATAATTTCGCTTCTTCTACCGAAGCGTTTAAACAAGAGCTACTCACTTGATGATCCGTAGTGAAAATTTAGCACAGGCTCAGAGGGACGTTTACGTCTACCTTTTGGTGCGAGATGAATTATGAGGGTTTCGTAATCACGAAGCTTCAGGTTAAAAATCATTGTTCTGATGCCACTAGCGCGATCGAGACTTTTTTATTCTGCTCAACTCTGTAACGCGGTTGTCCGTCTACGAACTGCGAGTGCTTAAACACCATGGTGTCGTGCCTTGCTTAATGTCCTCCCCCAGGTGTTTGGAAATAACAATACGGTGAGAGGTTGCCCTATAACCAGGTCTGACGAGT